TTTCGTGGTGTAGCCTATGCTAAAGAGACGATGCCCGAGCCATATCGCGCGATGCTAGAAAAGAGAATGTACCTGCCGCTTCCCGCGCTCACTCATAAAACGTGCATGACCTTCGCACAGGCTTGAAGCGCGACGAGATGGCTAAGATCGGCGATGACAAAGACCCTGAGGCGAAACTAATGCGCCGCCCTGTCATGGACCCCTACCTCGCTGTTGAATTCGCGATCTCCAAGTCCGAGTTTGTCGAGGCCTATCAGCTGCTTATCCTAGCGATGAAAGAGTCGCCGGTCTTTGGCGGAGCCGTTGCCACAATGTTTGAATCCTGGTTCTCGGAACTACAGAAGCATGCCAATTGGTACAACCCGAGGCTCTGGGTCGCTCTTGTCCGTTTTGATCATAAGTGGCGCCACCGCTGGTTTGTCGACCCTGTTCTCACCCGCCTCGATGTGTCCATGTTCGAGGACATGCACGAGCATGTGGCCTTTGTCAATGATCAGTATAGTCTGGAGGCAGAGCGGCGGCGTGACGAGGCCGTGGCTTTGGCTTTGCGTGATGTCTCATGTGGGAGGTTGGTGCATGGCCAGAACTCTTTTCGTCGTCGTGGTGACTGGAGCAGCAGTCCCCCACTCGCTGGTTCCCGTGATCACGCTCGCCAGTCTCGATACCCTAACAGCAGACTCCCCTTTCCTGGTGGCAGCCAGGGGCCCAGCTCCTCCCCTGTCTGCATCATATGTGGAGCCCCAGGTCACAAAGCGGCTGCTTGCAGGGCCACATCAGCTTATCTCGGAAAGCAGACTGTTGCCGTCCTCCACAATCAGAAGCTCATCGCTGTCTCCGATCGTTCCCCCATATGCTTCTCCTTCAACATCACATCCTGCTCCCGGACTGGCCCTGGACACTCCTCATCTGAGCACCGTTGCTCGCTTTGCCTTTCCTCTCGCCACAGTGCCCGTTCCTGCACAGGGAACTGAGGCATCCCAATCTCCACTGATCGCTAATTATTTTGCCAATGTGCTGGCCGCATGTGGCATTACCAGTCGTTACCCTAACCTTGCTCACAAAATCCGCAATGGCTTTGACATTGGTAAGAAGATGCCTACTCTCCTTAATACATACATTCCGCGAAACCATGCTCGGTCTGATGAGGATCTCCAAATCATTGAGAAATATTACGACGAAGAGATTCAGCTGGGGAGGATGGTGGGCCCCATGTCTGTGGATGATGCAACTGCCTTCGTCTCTGGCCATTTTGTGACATCACCCATCGGGCTGGTTCCAAAGCCGGACTCGGACAAGATGCGCATTGTCCGTGACATGTCATTCAGATATGCTGATGGCACCTCGATTAATGGCCACATCGACAAAGCCGACTATACTTGCAGGTGGACAACATCTCAGATGTTTGCTAGCTGGGTGAGTACTGCTGCTTCTGAACTCTATATGCCCCTCCCCCCCCCCCACCCCCCTTCTTTCTTCCATTGGTCTTGGTGTTTCCCTACCTGCACGATGCGGTGGATGGCCATCAAGATGATGTGCTTGGGTACCTGCTTAGCAAGATGCTGCAGAAGGCCATCACAGTGATGCGCATGGATACCTGCTTAGCGGAATGCGGCGGAAGGCACTCACGGTGATGTGCATGGATACCTGCTTAGCGGAATGCGGCAGAAGGCAGTCACAGTGGCATGCATGGATACCTGCTTAGCGGAACGCGGCAGAAGGCACTCACAGTGATGTGCATGGATACCTGCTTAGCGGAATGCGGCAGAAGGCAGTCACAGTGACATGCGTTGACAGCCATGTAGTCCCCCCCTCCTTATGTGTTCCCAGCCTTCCTTCTTGCTTCATGGTTTCACTGGTCACAGAATGTCAGAGTCAGCAGGCTCACAGTGCTTGGCCCTTTTCCTTCGGGTTCAGGTGACGAATGCCCCCCCAGGTGCCCAGGGTGCTCAGATAGATATTGAGGCGGCATATCGATGTCTCAAGACACTGGCAGCACATGTCCCTTTTATGGCCGTCGCAGTGCGGAAAGGAATAACTATTGACCTGTTTCACCCCTTCGGTTTACGTTCTGCTGGTGGCAACTTGGGCGAGGCCTTGGATGCTACCCTTGATGTCGTAATGCACCGGCTCAATGTTGCTTTCATCGCCAAGTGGGTCGATGACATTATCCCAGTTCGTATACCGATCTCCGGCTCGACAGAAAGTGGCTGGGCGTACAGTGTGACCCTTGCTCAGATCTTGGACGAGATGCAGCGGTTTGGCTGGCCGATTAACCCACTCAAGCTTGTTGACTTTTCAAGCATTGTGAAGTATATCGGTTTCCTCTGGGATCTGGAGGCAAAAGTGGTCTCATTACCTGAGCGGAAGCGCACCAAGTACCTGGCTCGAATTGATCATTTCCTGTCCGATGCTAGCAGAGGTGGTTCAGGCAGCGGTGTGACCTTGCACGATGCGCAGAAGCTGAATGGCACACTCGTGCATGTGGCTTTCATCTATCATGATGGCCGACCCTATCTCCCCGCTCTCCAGGCCTTCTTGATGAGATTTGGCAATGTCAGCAGCCGTTTCGTCCATCTGCATCCCAGCTCGGCTATAATTACTGACCTCAAGTACTGGCAACATCTCCTCTCGATTCCTGGTGTTTTTCGTTCACTCGCTACTTGGCTGACGGTTGATCTGGATATCTGGGTTGATGCCTCCACAAGTTGGGGCATCGGACTTAGTGTCAGTGGCCTATGGCGCGCCTGGAAGCTCAGGCCAGGCTGGAAGTGTGAGCGTCGAGACATTGGCTGGGCAGAGAGTATTGCGCTGGAATTTGCCATCCGACACATCCATGGACTCGGGATCACAAGCTCTCTTGTTATCGTGCACTCTGACAATCAAGGCTCGATTGGTCAATACAGGCGTGGGCGTGGGTCCAATCCACAGACGAACGAGTCGATCAAGCGCACTTATGCCCTCATTCTTCAAAATGACTTTGACATCGACATCAGGTATGTCAGGTCTGAACACAACATTGCAGACGCCGTCTCGCGTGGAGACACCATGGCTTTGCACCCCCTTTCTCGGCTTCCACGTCTGTTCGACACTCCAATCGAACTCGTGCCATTTCTGCTTGAGCATGAGTTATAGTGATACTGTACCGTCTGTGCTTTCAGGTGAAGGCACGTCCGCTCAGCGAGAAGGGAGTTCATCATTGTCGTCGGCTGGCACTGCTGCTTCTCTCTTTCCACGCCTCGCTCTGCAGACAAAGTTTGGCAATAAGCCCCGCGCCACTGGCCCCCAGATCAATCCCAACAACATTCTTTACCCCCCAGGTGCTCGCTGGCGAGCGATTATTCTTTTGGACCTCAGCTTTTGCCTTAGAACGTCGTCTCCAGTTAGTCCAGAGTACCCCGCCCCTTCTCCTCATGAAGTACGATAATGCCATTGCTGCCCAGTGGTCCACAGACACTAAGATTGGCTATGGTAGTGGTATCAAAAAGTGGATTTCCTTCTGCGACGAGCATAATGTTGCCCCCGAGCTTAGACTTCCTGCCTCTCGCCAGTGGCTCCTCCTTTTCATGGCTTCCCACCGTGGCACCATCGGTTCATCAAGTTTCTCATCTGCTATGTCAGGTATCCGGGCATGGCACATCGCCCAGGACGTCCCATGGTATGGTGACCCCAGGGCAGATGACCTCGTACGGGGGATCCGTCACAGTGTATCTGCTGCAGCCCCAGCCGCCACGACTCGTGCCCCTCACCTGCCAGTGACTGTCCAGCACCTCATCATGTTGCGTTGCGGCCTTGATGTCTGCAACAGTGGCTTTGACACTGCAGTATATGCAGTTGCTTGCTGCGCCTTCTGGGGTGTGGCCCGCCTGGGTGAGTTGACTGTGAGATCCACGAAGGAGAAACAAGAGGATCAGGACAAGCGCGTGAAGCGCCATCCTCTGCCAGTTTTCACAGTGGAGGCAGGTGTTGCGCATGGTGCTGACTTTCACATTCCATGGACGAAGATGGCTAAGCACGTCGGCACGACTATCGTCCTCTCTCACATCACTGATGACAGCGCCCGTTCGACTTGCCCAGTTGAGGCACTCCTCAATCACCTTCATCTCAACTCCGCGATTCCCAGCACGGGTCATTTGTTTGCGTACCCGGACAGTTCGAGTGGCCAGGTCTTGCCAATGGTGAAGAGGGTCTTTATGGCATGCTGCAGACAGGTGTGGGATGCCTCAGGCTGCGCAGAGGTTTCTGGGCATAGTTTTCGCATTGGAGGATGCACTGAGTTACTGCTGCGGGGTGTCTCCCATGAGTGGGTTAAGATAGCAGGTCGCTGGAAATCAGATGCCTGGCAAGTCTACATTCGCGGTACACCGGTGCTGCTGCGGAATGAGATGAGGAGGGTTACTGTGGCATTAGGCCAAGAGAGTTTGGGCCCATCGGCCTCGAGTATGCCGTCAGATGGTAATCCGCCAGATTCAGATCCCCTATCAAGTTTCCTTTCGTCTCCTCTATTTTCAGTTGGTCTATGACATCTTATTTACACTCAATGGTGCTTGTCGCGCTGCCACATGCGCGCTGTGTGGGCGATAGCCTTGCGTGTTCGGACTCACAAGCATGACTATGGCACGCCGTTGGCTGCGCGTTTATGGGTTGCATAGTCATTGCAGCTTGTCTTTCCCACGCTCCGAGAGCCCGAAGTACACGCTGTAAGCCTATTCTTCAGTCCAGCTTCTCTCGAGGCTAAGGCTTCAGCGCTGCCTGAATTGATGAGAATTCGGCGTCCTTCGGACTTCTCCGCCCACACGCAGTAAGAGACACTGAGCTCATCTCATCCAGCATTGGCGAGGAGTTTCAGTCCGCGGAGCAGACATCATAACTCGAGCCTATCTCGCGTTACGCTAGCAAAAACTAGCTCATCTATCATAAAAACCCCGTATTAGTAGAGTGATGCGTATTAACTCCCGCAGTCAGCGGTTGTTGATTGCAAATTTCTGCTGGAGATGCAACAAGGTCTTGTGGTCTAGAGGTATGATTCACCCTTAGGGTCTAGTGAACCATATGGGTGAGGCCCCGCGTTCGATTCGCGGCAAGACCCTTTTGACATTTCTTGGGCTCGCAGGCTTTCCAGGCTTTCTTTTTTGCCCAACCATGTCTATGAATTGAGGCCCTATGCGAGTGAGAGGAAGGAGGGAGGGACAATTCCTTCACGAATTGCGACAACTGGCGGGACCCTTCTGCAGCGTCTCCTTCCTTTGTTCATTCGATCTGTTTGGGAGCTCTGGTGCCCGCATAGCAGTTTGAGTAGATCTCCAGCGTGCAATATTGTTGAAAATAGAGTCATTGGTTCATGATCATCGTTGCGCGTGTTAGTGTTACAAAATTGTTGAGCAGTTGATCAGTCGCTGAACTGAAGCACTCTACCAATTCTTTCATACTTGGTATCTTGCCTCAAGCACCGCCCGGCGCCGTAATCTCGATAGTCTCATATCTGCGTTGCGGCCCCGTTGGCACCAGCATTTCGACCGCATTACAATTCCATGTGTGAGAATTCGTTAAAATAAAATTGCACCCAGTCTATGTTAGGTTAGACGTTCCACGTTCTGCTTCACTTTGCCGAAAAGATTCATCACCCCGTCGCGTATCCCATCCGCTTGGACAGCGATACCACCCTCGCCAGGAGTTCGGTACACACCCGTTCCCCCGGGCCCACCCATGCTTACCTGTATTCCACCCAGTTGCAGGTTCAATGAGGGAGATGACGGATTCGCAGCCGAGGGTGATAATACGGGCACCGAATTCACCGTAGACGATAATGCTGGGACCGCGGACTGAAGGTGATGCAGGAAGCTAAAATGGGAATCTCTAGTGAACAGCTGAACGTACACCAGAGCAGCGCAAAACTGAACCTTGATGAATTGTGCACACATGTGCCCCCAAGGAGAATCCTTGTACCAGACCCAGCGTCGGTATTCAACTTGGCCACGGCCCTGGCTTCCTCATAGGTCGCTCCTCCAACCATGAATATGATCACGTCCTGTGGCCTGCGATCACACATCGTGAGTGGCATTAATAGGATCAAGTGCTAGTGGGATCAACATACCGTTGCGTTGTTGCGTTGTTCGCGGCGCTCGATGGCGTAGATATCCCTGATGCTGGAGTAGTTGGAGGATCAATGAAAGGGTAGTTCGTATCCTTCAAGCGGCCCTTCAGCAGTGGCTCCAGCATCTGGAGGAAATGTGGTTTATGCTGGGTGTAGACATTCTCCACCCCCTTGCATTGCAATGTTTAAAATACGATGACCATCTAAAGGAAAGATGTGACCCATACCTGGAGGCCCTTGAGGGCACTTCTTCCTCGAGAGAAGATGTTCTCATCCGAGAACAGGTCGCCTTGCCGTTGATCGGCTCCCGCGAGATGCAGAACAACGTAGACAAGCTCCCCTCAGCGTAAGCTGTTTATCAAACATCGGAATTATAAGGGCAAACGATACCTTGGCTTCGTCCTCCTTTAGCCCATGTTTCACCAATAAATCTACCACGCTCGAAATTGCATTGCTATTATTCTTCTGATATCGAAGTGCGTAAAGCATAGCGAGGCGCAATTTATTCACGGGCGGTATGTTCGAGGCGATGAGTGTCTGTACAGTCTTGAGATCGTTCGAATGCCCCCCGCCCGCCCCCACGAGATTCTGCTCGGTCTCACTGATCTGGAGTAGGTTGTCCCGTCCGACGAGCCGCGATAGTTCTCCCACGAGAGCGACATGTTTGCTCACGTTCCCGCCGAGTTTGCGGAATTCAGGGTATTCTTCGACAAAGCGTTTCATGTCCGCAACGGTTTGAATCACGGTCGATGTAGCTGTCTTGGTCTGATAAGAGTCTACGTATGCCTTGAGAGCCTCACCGAGATCTCCAAAATTTGAGAGAAGGTGCCGCTGATAGAACGGGTCTGTCTGCGGCGATAATGTGATTTCCTCAAGAACGTATTGGATTCAATGAAAGGAGGACATGCTAATGGTGAATATAAACACACTTGTAGTTCCTTCTGCACGTCGGGTACTGTAGAGAGATCCACTCGTCCGTTCACTATTCCAAGTAGCTCGTGAACCATCGCTTGATACGTCCACTGGGACAGTAAAGGGGTGACAGGATCATTGAGCCTGTCCAAAATGAGAAGCAGGGGTGCAGTTTGTGTTGGTCGGAAATCGAATAGTGATGCATGATCCTCCGTAAATTTCTGGAGTGACTGAATTTCAAAACTAGGAATCACGGGGGAACAAGATGTCAATCGTACTTTAATTTCCGAGCCAAGCTTTCGTGCCATTACACTCATTCTCTCGTATCGAATGACGGGCTTTTTCTTGAGGCTAAGAAGTACAGCGGCAATGCCATGTACACTTCTCTTGAGAGCTTCAGGATCCCAAGATGTTGATGATGACCCGTACAATGGTGCGTTCGGTGATGGAATGTGATTCAGAGAGAATAGATACGGAAGGAGAGGGGAGTAATCGGCAAAGAATTCTTGTATTTCGCGAACGAGTTCGTACGAATCCGCTTCTGCAAGCTGCTCAATAGACGATTTGGATAAGACATTACTGAAATCTTCCTTTGCACGAGATAAGTTTATTGATGACGGGCGCACAGGCAGAATAGTGCCTACAGAGATAATATTCTCCATACTTGGGCTCACACAACTCTCTCCGGACAGCTTCGAGGCTGTCTTCGCTCGGAGACAAAAAACAAACGCATTTGAGGTGGGGCATTCGATCCCGGCGATTGTTGTCGATACGGTCGGTGAGATATACTTGATGCGTTAAGAGGTCAGACTGGGTGCATGCGAGCGAAATAATAGGGGTGGTATGCAAGTCTAGGAGCAGAACTTTTATAGCTGAAGGGCTTGATACCATCTTGATCGCATACGTTTGGACAGCGTGCAACACGTCCATCTTTCACTTCCGGCGGCGCAGTGACGATCGCAACGGAACCTGCCGATGTCACATGACTTCCGAGACAACTACGACATCCTGAAACGAGGCAACAGTGTCTTCCGCTGACTCACTTGCTTCTCAGGCTGTGTCCGTTGTGCCACCGTGACTGCCTCTGGTGTAGGAGGCAGCAAGGAGATCCAGATGTCACGATTGAGAAGTGCACAGAAACGGATACGGTGTTACTGAAATCATGCTGTAGCTGCTCACGTTTGTTGGATATAGTACAAATGCGGGTTTCCCCGCTGTACTTGTGGCTTATATTTCGTCTTCTCTCCAGGATGATCCTGGTTGTCTCCCTGGTCTCGAACAGTCGTTTAGGGTACCATCGTGGAATATTGCTGACAACCTTGATGCGGATCCCCGAATTTACTCGATCTTGTGAAGTCCTTATCTGTGATGCATTCGGAGTGGCAGCGTCTCAATCGTCTGACCACACTCCAGGTCTATTCCTCGAAAGAAGCTGATTGACCTCGACCCATCTTGAGTGTGCCATAGTGCAAGTATCCAGTTCGTATCTGCTGTCTATTTCTTTTGTATCTCTCCAGACTTCATACTGCAATCAAAACCATTTCATATAGCCTGGATGTGTCTCTAGTATTGGGGTCCTCCACAACTGTCGAGATCGACTCGGCGATCGCTGACATTGTGGTTCTGCAGTTGTTAGACGTGACTTCGCTGTTCCTTGAAGATGATTGGCAGGAATGCAGCATGAAGGCCGCACCAGTCCCTTTCGTCCCCACGTTATCCATTTTGTGGCTGGATACAAAGAGGCTTCGCATTTCGAACTGGAAGGGGAACTGGGACGCCTAGCAACCACTCCACCACTTCAGTCTCCCTGCATAGGTACCTGCGACCTTAAGTTCATTTCCAAGAAGGCATGTCCCCGTTTTGCTTCAAATTGGAGCATTCGGTTAATCCTGCTTGGACTTAAGTTTGTTACGGTACCACAGCCATGATCATGCGAAGATGGAAAGATTTGTATGGGTCCCTCCTCCCCTGTCCAAGTTTGAACATGAATTACTAAGGGTACGAGCTATCTCCTTCCTGAGAACTTGATCTCTCTAATGCTCCAACGCTCATGGAGGGCCATGCGTGGAATTCCAATAGTACCCAAGCCCCAACTAGTTACATGTCCAGCGGGGATCGTTCGTAAGCTAAACAAGATCGATATACAGTATTGACGCTGATAAGGTAAAGTAGTTTCATCAAAAATACAAGTGACCATCTACAGCCGGACCTATAGCTCGGGCTCGCCCTCGGCGTCCAAATCCTCCTCTCCTTCGGCATCTTCATCCCCAACTTCGACTCCGCCATTTACAGTGTCGAGGATTTCTTCTTCTCCTTCAGCATCCAGGTCTCCAAGATCGTCTTCGATGGAGGCAAACCCATTGGTGAGATGGGTCGTGCCATTCGTAACATGGTCTACAAAGTCAAGCTCGATACCATTCATAGCAAAACTGACTTGTTCCGCCGTGTCCAGTTGATCTTCCTTCAACAAAGGGATAGCGAGGACATGGGCCTTTTTGGGGGGCCTGGTAGGTACAGTCGCACGCGCTTTCTTTGCAAGCCGTAGTGCTTCTTCCGGGTCATCGAGAAGGGGTATGAATGGGCCGCGTTGATTGGAGTGATTCAGACGAGAAGAAACTCTACGGCCTCTTAACGAAATGCCGTTGCTATTGCCATTGGTGCTATGTGCTAGAATAGCACTACTGTGCGTCGAGCTAGACCGTGGCACAGCAGAGCGTGTGTGGTGCCGTATAGGATATCCATGGTCATTCCCATGAATATGTCCATTCATAATCCTAACGGGCGATAGTGGCGCTGGACTGAGAGATCGCTCGGGGGTGGTAGGAGGTTCAGAGAGACCGGACGAGTCAGGTGATGACTCGATACGGCGCCTCTTTCGTGGAGATACACGTGTCGTTGGCTGAATACCGTTAGATCTCGTCCTTGAAAGGGGTAGCGAGGTGGCAGAGTCCTGGTCGAGAGGAATTGGTGTCGGTACAGGATCCTGATGTGCGCTATCATCTATTATAGATGTCACTGATCCCCGTAGAGAACTCTGACTCCGTGTTGTCCTAGTGCGAGGTCCCTGGTGGGGGACATCGGTC